GTGACGCCATTAGTGGTTCCTGCATCAGTCTGGGCTTTGGGAGTGGGGTCAAGGAGAAGCAGCTGGGTTCTGGATCAATGTTGAAGGAACTTGCTAACAAACACGGGGTCCCAGAGAAAGTGCTTGGGCATCTCTGGTCCCCCAATCCAGTCTCTTAAACATTAGCATGTATTATCGCCATTTTCAAGATGAGACCAAGTCGCATGGCCAGAAGGCAGCTGATCTCGCCCACACGGGCTCCACCTGAGACCCTCATTATCTGAAGACAGAAGGTAGCTGGAAGAGACCCCATCCCCCGAGCAGCCCCTCCTTGGCCTGCGTTGGCCTCAGCCTGGGCTCACATCCTACAGGAAGAGGGGCCAGGGCCCTGAGTGTGGGTTTTAGCTCGTCCTCTGTCTCTGCGTTTGGTCGGCCACTTTCCTCTTTGGACTGGTAGAGTAGAGACTCTGTGTTTTCCTGTGTTTGTCTTCCCTGTGACTGCCTCCTGGGGCATTTCCTGGTGTCCTTTGTCCTGGGATCACCCTGCCTGGGCTTAGAGGAGAGGAGAGGGCTTTGGAGACCAAGGGAAGCCCCCTCTCCCTCCAGTCCTGAGATCTGGATCTGCCCTCAGCCTCCAGGAAGGAGATTGTTGGAGTGATTATCCCAAGGATCGATGAGACTCCTGGGCCCCTGAGGCCACATGGCACAGTAAGGACTCAGACTTAGTGGCCGGTCGGCCCTGAGCTCATTCTTGTAATGCCTGCCACCCTCACTTCCTGGAGTGACAAGTACTGCTTCTCCCAGATAAGGGCCTGGAGCCAGAGCTTGGGTACACCCAGGTGGCCCTGCCCTTGCACCTAGAGTTCAGATAGTGGGACCCACAGGCCCTGCCATCACATGCACAGGGCACTAGCATGGCCTACAGTAATGCCATCTCTATCTGCCACCTCTAGGGCTGCAGCAACCTTGGGTAGAGCTGGGGGTGGAGTGGGCATGGCCTCTCTGGGAAGGGAGGTTACACTTGGACCCATCTCAATAAGAAACTGATCCTTCTTGGCGGCACAACAGCTACGACTTGGATTGTGATCCACAAGGTCAGCAGTTCGAACCCACCAGCTGCTCCTCGAGAGAAAGACTGGGCTTTCCACTCCCATCGAGTTACGATCTCAGAAACTCACGGCGGCAGTTCTCACCCGTCCTGAAGGGTCACTGTGAATTGGCATCGAATCGATGGCAGTGGATTTGAGAGTTGAGATCTGTTTTGTGGGTTGGGTAAAGGAGCAGCAGAAGGCTGATGGAGTTTTCACAGGCGCCTGTGGCTGCTTCTCGGGGATTTAGTGAGGAGTGCCTATGCAGGGGAGGCCCGGAGCCTGCCGCAGCACCCCTGGGGCAGGTCACTAGGCCGAGTGGTAATTGTGGAGAGGAAGCCAGGGTCGGATCCATGGCCAAAGCCTTGCCGACAGTGTGGGAGGAGGAGGAGGCGGCGAGGATAACCCAAGGTCTGAGCCCCTTGGGTTGGTCGTTTCGGGGGTTTGCAGAAGCTTGTCATTGACCATGAAAAGGGAAAGTGCATTGTAGGTCTTGCAGCAGGTGTGAGTCCTGGTGATAGGTGACTTCTGAGGGCCAGCCAACAGGGAGTTTCCGGGCCTCAGATACCCTGAGGCTGGCGTCGCCCACTCAAGGAGATGGCGTCTTCCCCCCTACGAGCAGTACTGCAACCACCCTGCCGACCCCAGATGCCCTCTGATACTCTTCCAGCCAGAAACCTTCCTCAGTGAGCTCAGCCCCATGCCCACCATCTCCAGGCTGTATGACCAGGCCCACCTGGGCCTTCTTTTTCCCCGTCTGTAAAGCAGGGATAGGAGAATCCTGTCTGCCTCGGGCTTATCATGAGCGTCAGGGAGGGAGCCTGTGGAGAGAGCTGGACCTGGTGTAACGGGGGCATCGTGAGCACTCCCTGCAGTCAGCTGGGCCCGTTGTCTCCTGGTTGCCTGGGTGTAAGCCCTGGGTGCAGGCAGTTCGGCCCACAGGCCTCTGTGCTGCGCAGAGAGAAGAGCACGTGTTTGTGCAACAGCTATTCCCTGTCCATCAACCCTGACATGGGATGACCAGGCCCTTGGGACCCCGGGGTCGCCAGGGCGTCAGAGCCCACCACAGCCCAAGAGGGCCCTCCAGGAATATTAATTGTGGGTGACAATGACCATAAGTAAATGTGCTAGTGCTTGAAGCCCAGCTGTGCAGAGAGAAAGAGAAAGTTGAAATGCTTTAGTGACTTTCCTCCAAGACTCTGCCTAACCTGGTCAGTCCCTAACCCTCTGACTTGGCTTTCTCCCTACCCCTCACACCCTCGGGTCCAGCCACCTGGTCTGCGGGACAGCCTTGTCGGGGCTTTGCGGTGGCTGTTCCGTCTACCCAGACAGCCTGTGGGTCTGTCTCTCACCTCTCTCAGGTCATTGCTTAAGAGAGGCATCCGTCCACCCTCCGAAATTTTTCCTCACCCCTTGCCCCTCTCCTCTGTGGCAAGGACTCGGCCCTCATCCCCCTTAATACCATCGACCTTGGTCCTTTGTCTCGGTCACTCAAGTGCGGCCTCCACGAGGAAGGACCTGTTGTCACGTTTGTTCACCACTGCACACCTAGCACCTGACATTCGATGAGCTTCTGGTCAGGACAGGTGGGCAGCTCACTTGGTGACCAGGTCAGCCCCAAATAGCCTCCTAGTCTTTGCTTGCCTGCCCTGGATGAGTTGAATGAACCTCGACAGGTGGCAGTAACTGAGAACCAAGAGCCAGTCCCAGACAGTGTGGGGGAGGGATGGGGGGCAGGTGGGTGCGAAGGCAGCAGCTGGTCACACTGGTTCAGGTTATGGGCACAGGCAGGTGGGGCTACAGTTGGTCAAGTGAGGCTCTGGATGGGGGTAGGGGCTACCTTCAGCCCACTCTGGGGCAAGTAGGAATCTTGCCTGGCCCAAAAGGTAGGAGATGGGCATTGGAGGCAGCGGGGATGGCTTGGGCACTTTTGGCCTGGACTTAGGGAGCCAAGTTCACTGCTTGGCTCCGAATCCGGTGCCTAGACTCTCTGTGTGACCCTGGGTGAGCCCGGGTCCCTCTCAGGATCTCAGTTTTCCATCTCAAAAACTCACTGCTACCAGTCGAGTCTGACTCACAGCAGCCCTGTAGGACAGAGCAGAAAGGCCCCTGCGGATTTCCAAGCCACTGTTTCCAGGAGTAGAAAGCCTTTTCCTGTCTAGCGCTGGTGGGTTTGAGCTACAGTTGGCAGCCCAACACCTGTTTATGCAAGCTAGAGGGTAGCCTTGCCCTGCAGCTTTGGGAAGCCACCAGAAATAACCAGTCCTGTAACAGGTTGGACATCCTTCCAATATCCGACTTACTGTAGGACCCTGGGTCACCACTGTCTATCTTAGTCTGTGGTTCTTAGCCCGCTGGGAGCCCAGTCCGCATTGAAGACTGGATTATCTGTGGTGCTTAAACATTAAAATACATAAAAAGCAACTTGCTTTTAAGAATTCACGAGATGTGTGACATTGGCACGACCTTTAGCATCAGTGAATGATGGGCCTTTGTGGCGGCTGTGCCCTCGCCACGTCTTTCCTGTTCCCCTCGGCTGCTTCCCTACCCCTTCCCCAAGCCCGCAGCTCAGTAGCCCAACCCCCTCCCCCTCCAGAACTAGCTAGGCATAGTGTCAGACCTGCTCTTACTTCAGGAGCATGAGCACTGGTATTGGTCCCAAGGTGCAGGCAGGACATACCTCCACTCTGCAGCCTCTCTCAAGACCATGTCTCACACCGGTCTTCCTCCCGCAGCCACGCTCCGCTCCTCTGCTGGGTTTGCTAACGGGTTTCGTGTTCGCACAGAATACACAGATCATTCCATTAGGTCGTTTATTCGGGAAGTACTAAGGGCTCAAGATCAATTGGGAGCAAATGTGGTGAAGAACGTGATGGTGTCTGGCTATTAAAAGACACAGCAGTCTGGGGTCTTAAAGGCTTGACGTTAAACAAGCGGCCATCTAGCTGAGAAGCCGCAAAGCCCACATGGAAGAAGCACACCAGCCTGTGTGATCACAAGGTGTCTACAGGAATAGGTACCGGAAGTCCAAAATGAAGCAGTCAAATTGGCGTGAAGGGGCATAGGCACAGTGGAGACCCAAAGCCCACCCGTGAGACAATTGGACCGTCCCTCACTGAAGGGTCCCTTGGAAGGGACGGTATATCCAGGGTGCAGCAGAGCACTGATGAAACACACAACTATCCTCTAGTTCTTGAATATTTCCTCCTCCCACTATTGTGGCCGGAGCTTTACCTCACTAATCTTGCTAGACCCGCATATGGACATTGGTCCAATTAAGGCCTTTCGATGCACGAAATCCAAGATCGACAAACCCCTCAGAAACAGCAATGATTCCCTGAGGGTACAGGAAGAGGGGGAGAAGGGGAGGTGATAGCAATGATGACTGTCTAACCCCACTTGAGGGGAACGAGCATCAGAATTTTAGATGAATGGATACATTGGCAGATGTAAGTTATGGAAAAAGAAAACCCTATCATAATCAACATAATATATATTAAGGGTTCAGGAGGGTGGGAAGGTATAAAGGGGAGCTGATATCAAGGTGTTTAAGAAGAAAGAATATTGAAAATGTTGATGGCAGCAATTGTACAAGTATGCTTCATCTAATGGACCTATGGATTGTAATTCTATATGTCAGAGCTCCTAAGGTTAAAAAGAAAAGGATGAATTGGGAGCTCCAGGAACAGGATCCATGACAGGAAAGGTCTGTAAGGCTCCCCAAATGAAGAGCACACCATCCCTTCCCTAGTGCAGGCCAGCAGGACAGCCTGCTTGCGCTTGCTCACGCTCTCAGCAGTGCAGGCCCCTGGAGGGCAGGCTCCGGCCCCTGCCCTGCCTGGGCAAGTGTTCCAGTTCTTTCAGTCCCACCACCAAGTATCGGGGGGCAGCCGCTCCCACCCCCAGCCGCAGGCCTCTCCTACGTGGACTGCGATGGGGGCTGCGAAGGCCACTGTAGCCACCTCGTGTGCGCCAGGCAGCCACCACATCTTCGTGCACGGTTCCCTGGTTCTGTGTCCCAGCCCTGTCTCCTGGGTCTAGGATGTGCTCAGGGAAGGGACTCAGAGTCTGAGAGGAGCCTTTCTACCTGACAATAGTGAGACCCCCCTCCACTGTGTGGGATGGGTGCTGATAGAGGCAGACGGCGTGATCCTATCCCGTGAAGATTGACAGCATAGGACCCCAAGAGGACAGTTCTGCCCTAGCCCGTCGAAGTTCTGAGTCAAAATCAAAGTTGTGGGGTTTGTTTGTTTTTATAGGGTGGTATTTTGCATAATAACTGGCCAATCCTCTTTCGACTAAACTGGTCAGTCCCCTCACAAGAGGTGCCATCTGTTGTGCATAAACACCGCCACGCTCTGTTGGCAGGGACGCCTTTACCCTGGGCCACAGTAACAAGCTGCTGGGCGAAGACGAGGGCAACCGTAGCAACTTCTTTGTCCCGGAGCCGAGCCAAGAGGCGGCCCAGAGGAAGGCATTGTGGCTCATCCTCACCTGCTCCACCCTGCCACCAGGGCGGCCAGCCTGTCTCTCACTCCTGCCTGGGGCCTTCGCGCCGGCCAGTCCCTCTGTGGAGAGCACTGTTCCCCGGTTACTTCACCAACTCTCCCTGTCTTCTCGGTCTTCATTCCCAAGTCCCCTTTCTCTTAAGGACTTCCTCTCCCCGCAGAGCGTCCCCACCGCCCTTCCCTGGTTTAGCTTCTGCAGAGCACTCCTCACCCCTTTGCTTTTCTTCTTATCTGTCTTCCCTTCTAGACTAGCAGCTCCGTGAGGACTCGGGCCCTCGCCCACCTGGCTCCCAGCTGTACTCCTAGAACCACACATAGTGCCTGCAGCTCGAGAGACACTTACTTGTTGGTTGAATCACTGGAACAAACCATTGTGGTTGAACAAACCAGTTCCCCGTGATAGGAGGACTTCAGGGCTTGGGGGTCAGGGGGACAGCAAGACCCCCCTCCGCGGGCCTCTGTCCTTGCAAACCTTTGAAGGACGAGCACTGTGTGTGTGTGTGTGTGTGTGTCCATCCACACCCACTGACTATCTCCGCCATGGTGACCGTAGTGCCCATGTCTTTCTAGACCCTGTTTTTCTTGTCCCAGCATGGGACCCTGGCACTTTCTAGTGTGTGTGTGTGTGTGTGTGTGTGTGTCCGTGTCCATCCACACCCACTGACTGTCTCTGCCAGGGTGACCGTAGTGCCCATGTCTTTCTAGACCCTGTTTCTCTTGTCCCAGCATGGGACCCTGGCACTTTCTAGTGTGTGTGTGTGTGTGTGTGTGTCCGTGTCCATCCACACCCACTGACTGTCTCTGCCAGGGTGACCGTAGTGCCATGTCTTTCTAGACCCTGTTTCTCTTGTCCCAGCATGGGACCCTGGCACTTTCTAGTGTGTGTGTGTGTGTGTCCCCCCGTGTCCGTGTCCATCCACACCCACTGACTGTCTCTGCCAGGGTGACCGTAGTGCCCATGTCTTTCTAGACCCTGTTCCTCTTGTCCCGCCATGGGACCCTGGCACTTTCTAGAGGGAGCTAGCTGAGATAGAGATTCCGGGAGCTGGGCCACAGAGGGGGTGAAGGACCCTGAGATGCTAGCACAGTTGTTAGCAAACACTGCCAAGATGCTTCCTGTGATCTTAGAGCAGCCTGGTGCTGGAGGACAGCTGCCCTGCGGGGTCGTCTGGGGTGTACCTGTTAGGGGTCTCTGCTCCCTTGGAGTTGCAGGGTGGTCACCACTGCCTTTCACATAGCAGCGGGGGGCACTTCCCCTCCCCTCCCCATCAAGGCCCAGATATGCCTTCCAGAAAACCGAGCTCACCGATGCCAGCGCATGCCCTATAGGACAGGGCAGAACTGCCCCTGTGAGTTCTGAGACTGTGACTCTGTACCGGAGTAGAAAGCCTCATTTTTCTCCTGAGAGGGTGGTGGTGGCTGGTGGTTTTGAACTGCTGACCTTGAGATTAACAGCCCAACTCAGAACCACTGCACCACTAAGGAGGGCTCCTTTGGTACGTCCTAGGAACCACTAAATTTTGCGTGGGAAACCTGGCCAGTACACCCCATCTCCACGTGGAGGCCTGTGTGTCCCTGTGGTGCCGGACAGGCATCCGTGGTGCCGCCACGTTAGGCTGGACTCGAGAGAAAGGCCTGGCAATCTATTTCTGAATACCGGCCCATGAGAAACCCTCTGGTTTCACAGCCATGGGGCAGGACGGGCAGTGTTTTGTTAGGTGGTGGGTGGGGTTGCCCGGAGGGTCTGCATGCTTGGGGCGGGGTGGGGGTGGGGTGTGTACAAGTCCATGGCAGCTAACAACACTGCTCAAAGAGGGTTCTCAACATGTCAGCGGTGACCTCATTTGATCCTCAAAACGGCCCTTCCAAAGAACATTAGAAATAATACCCTTACGTTACATAACAAGCTGTATCACTCCTGAGGCTCAGGGAGATTGCAGGAACATCCCAAGGTTTTAGAGGCCTTACCTCCAACAGCCTGGCTCCAAATCCCAGACCCTCCACCCACCCTCACCGTCCAGTCTGCAGAGGCCGGGAGTGGGGCTAGCTGGGCCCTTGCAGGGTCTCTGGTCTCACACTGTATCCCCCGTCTCTCTGGACCCAGGCTGTCATGACAGGGCCGTCCTGCTCTATGAATATGTTGGAAAGCGGACCGTGGACCTGCAGCACACGGAGGTCCCCGACGCCTACCGGGGGCGAGGTATCGCCAAACACCTTGCCAAGGTAGGGCAGCCAGGGGCGGGGCTGTGCAGGGGGCGGGGCATTGAAGGGTGGCATCTCCGGCATCCAGCCTGGTTCTTAGCATCGCCCACGGTCAGGTGTCCATTCTGAGCTGAAGACAGGCGTTTGGCCGTGTCACCCTCCCACCGCTGGGGCTGGGCCAGCTGCTTGGCCGGCTGAGATGGGCTGCGCCCACCCCCACCCAACTACGGAAGGAAGCCAGTGCCCTTTGTGTCTGGGCCTCAGCCCACTGCTCTGCCCTGTCCTGGCTCCTACGGTGCTGGAGGCATATCTAGGGCATGGCAGATAGGGGATGTGCCCCAGAAGCCACTGGAACTGAGCTGTGCTATCCTCCGCGTTTCTGTCGCCAGCTGTGAGAGGTCGGTCAGCAAATTGAGACGAAGATTTCTGAGTGGGGAACCTCCTGGGGTGACGGCAGATGGCGTGATCCTGCTCTTCGAAGTATAGAAAAATAAAAAAACCAGGGCAGGAAAAACAATATGAGCGAACACATTTTCATCTAGCACCGTCCTGTGCTCAGGAAAAGGCTCCGGGGCCCGACTTGCATGTTTGAGCTGAGGCTGGGGAAAGGGCCTCAACGATGGGGGTCTGATGTTGGGTGGGGGGGTGGGGGAGCATAGTCCCGTGTGTGCCACGGATGCTGTTCCCCAAGATGTGCCTGCCTACGAGGGTCGCTGCACTGCACAAATACCCAGTAGCCAATCTCCACCCCTGAGCCTGGCCCACAGTAGGTGCTCCGTTAATTCCCCCAGTGACTGGGTGAACGAATGCATTTAAGTGGTCCCCCTTGTGCCTCTCCCAGCCCCTCAGGGCAGCACATCCCCCAGAGCATCTCCCCTTGGACTTCGGGGGAGCAGGTTTGGGGCTGTTCAGGAGCGAAGAGTGACTTGCACTTCCCCGGGGGCTGCTCCAGTGGGCTCTGCAGGCGTGACGGGCCCAGTGCTGCCGCTGTGGGTGCTTTCCCTCCCACCCTCCTTCCAGAGGACTGTGAAGCTTCCTTCCCCGTCCATGTTTATTTGGCTGGGCTGCTAGGGTCGTAGTTATCAAGGGTAGAAGTGGCCGCCGTCCTCTCACCCTTGCTACCTGACCATCCTGTGAGCCCTGTCTGGGGATGACTCCAGGTCATCCCATATTTGGAAGCTGGGGCTCACAGAGGACTCATGCCCTGGGCAATGTGGAGAGATAACAGGAGCCCGAGTGGGAAGTGCCCCCCTCACCCTGAGCAGACCCTCAGCCCCCTCCCGGCATCTCCCAGTGGGTGAAGGCATTCCCCCTTCCTCCAGTCCTGGTCCTGTGGCCTCCCGTGGTGCTTTCAGGGCGTTGGTGTCTGAAGCTACAAAAAACGGGAGAAAGGGGTGTATGAGCCCTGTGGCCAGGGTGCTAGCGCCTGTGACCTGGAGATGGAGACAGGCCAGCCTTCAAGGCTGCAGGACTGCAGAGACCAGGCAGAGGATGAGAGGGGCAGTGGGGCCTCCACTAGCGCCTGGTAGGTGTTCAGTGATGGACACCTGCTGGCCCTCACCCCACCCCCATGTGGCCTCCCCTGTGTCCCAGCAGACGTGAGACACCCACTGTGTGCAAGGCAAGGTCAGTGAAGAGACTGACTTCTCCCTCGCTGTCAGGGCTCATGAACTAGCTAGAGAGACGTGGACCAAGGCTACCCACGGCCCTCCAAGTGAACCTGGGCTCTGGGAACCTTTCACCATGTGTGACCTGCACTGGGGTGCAGGGCAGCCCTAGAAGACTGAAGCAACCTTGAGTACCCTGCCCCAGCCTTGGGGCAGGCTCTGGAGGCTTCCAGGTAGCAGCATCAAAGGAGCAGGGATTGGCAGAGGGGCAAAGGCCCTGAGACTGGGAGAGGGTGGGGTGTTGGCGCAGACTAGGCACCAAAACGGGGGTGGGTGGGAGTGTGTGCTCTGGTTCTGGCTCCTTACGTAGCTTCCATGAGCTGTGTGCTGCCTTTGCAAAGACACGCGTTTTACCCACACGCATCTCCAAGACCTCTCGGTGAGCAAGGCGCCCGTGCAAACTCCGAGTCCAGGCCTGGCTCACTGCTCTGGCTGGGTGGCCTTGAGCAACTGATCAAACCACCCTGTGCTTCGGTTTTCTTAGTGGAACTGCAGCTGGGGTGAGAGCTCTGCCCTGCCCCTGTTAGAGCTCTGCCCTGCCCCTGGTAGAGCTCTGCCCTGCCCCTGGTTCTCGGGGCCAGTCTCCTGCCTGCTGGCCAGCATCCTTTTCATGACCTCTGGTGTTTGCCCCCCACCCCCTTCAGGTCTCCCCTAGCACTCTCATTTGGGCCGGAAACTCTGGCCTCTCCGTTCCTTCTTCCCCCAAATTCTCATATCCAGAATATTTCTAATTAATCTTCTAATTTGGGACATTTCATATATATGAAATCATACCTTCTCTGCCCCTTTGTAACAGGCTCCCTAGTTAAACTCGGCATAATGTTTCCAAGGTTCACGTATGCTGGGGCACATGCCAGGACTTCATCTGTTTTTATGTCCAAATACTATTCCATCGTGGAGCTCTGCCCGTCCGTCTACCCATCCACCTCCCGATGGACACGTGGGTGGTTTCAGCCTGGGGACAGCCGAGGAAAGCTGCAGGGAATATGGGCACTCACACGTCTCAGTCCTTGCTAAGCCCAATTGTTTAAGTTTTATTAGCCCTTCATCGACACGTTATGCAATTCAATGATTCTATCCTGTCAAGAAGAGTTGTACAACTGTCACCACGTTCAATTCTAGACCATTTGCTTCTTCCTTGTGCACATAGTTATTCACGTGACTATTATTTTCTAACTGTGGCAAAAAGATACACACACAAAAAGAACATTCTCCGATTCAGCGACTTCTACATGTATAACTCAGCGCCGTTGATTATACTCTCGTGTTGTACAACCATTATTGACACCCCTTTTCAAATTATCCCACCACCATGGACAAGAACTCACTGCCCCTAAGCAACAACTCTTTCCCCAGGGTAACCATTGGTCAAGTTTGGCTTCCTTTTTAGTAGCAGTTTCTCGATAGTATTCACATATCCTGCACGTCCATGGTTAAGTCACTTTCAAAATGAGTTGTTTATACAGCATCACCATCAGTTCTAGTGCTCCCTCCCCCTCCCGTTCTCAGTGCTTGTTCCCCAAGCCTCCTTTCCCTTCCCACCTCCCACCCTCCCTGCACTTCCCCGATAAACCATTGCATCAGTTATTGACTGTGCCTCCACTCCTCCTGGGCTTCACAAACTGGGAAACCCAACGGAAGCGATAAAAACAAAGCTATCACCTGCAGCGCCTTTACATCTTCAGTGATCACTTCATGAAGGCGGGTACCCAGCCGGCCATGCTAGAGAAACTTTCCCTGGATTGGGACTAGACTTAAGTGGGAGCCCAGAATCTATCTGATAAGCCCAATTCAAAAAAAATTTATTAGAATTCATGGTCAGAAAAATGTTCTATCACACATACAAACACACCCTTTTCCTCTCTGAAGGCAATTTGTGCAAACACCATCCCCTGTGCCTGCTGACCCAGCCGCCTGCTGGCCGTGCTTCACTCGGGGACCCCATTAAAATGTAACTATGGAGGGAGCTGGGATCCCCTCCCCAAGCCCACGGTCCCTGTGGGGCAGCCCTGGGCACCTGTGTCTCCTCCATCCTTGGTAGCCTTCTGAGTCAGGGAGGCCCTGTCTCCCACCTCTCTCTGCGTGGGCCTCAACGTGACGTAGCCAGGTTAGAGTGACCCCCACAGAGACCCTGAAAGGACAGCTGTCCCTAGATACAGAGCCCTGGCTTCCCTCGGACATTCTAGTGTTTTGTTTCCCACCTGCCCCCGATGCCCAAATACTTCCTCTTTGGTTCGGGCGCCCTTCCTTTCCCCTGTCTACGGAGACCAGAGGCTGTTCGTTGGGTTTGAGTGGATGCCGAGTGTGCCCCAGACCCTCTTAGATGCTGGAGAAGCAGGAGGGGGTCCTGCAGGAAGGGGTCCTGCAGGAAGGGAGGGTGGTGGAAGGGGCTGGTGTGATGCCTACCAGACCTCATAACCTCTCTCTGCTGCTGATGTTGCCCATCAAGGTGACAGTGCTACCCACGGCTCCGTGGGCTGCTGGCATCGGATCTTGCCACAGGGGCCTGCCTTCCAGGGACTGTGCCAGACAGAACGGGACAGTGGGGCAACCCTGACCGTGACCCTCAACCCTGAGGTTCCCCTGCCCTATAGCCACAGCCACAAGCTTACCTCTGGGACCCGGTTGGGGCAGAATCACTTCAATGCTGAAGCCCTCCTGGGTCCCCAGACTCCTGTCATGCTCTCCTCTTCCACTTGTCTCTCATCTTTGCTGTTGGTTAGACATGTCTGTCCTCTTGCATTAAAACGTGAAATGACAGCCTAAGAACTATAAGAGCTCCCTGGCAGGCCTTTAGGGAGGGCACCGGAGCTGGGCGTCTTGTGGAAGCCAATGCCCCGGGATCGGTGTCGAAGTTGCTTCAGCAGATGCTCAGGAAAGCCGTCACAGCTGTGTCGCAGCATAAGAGCTCCTTAGGTGGCACCCGTCCACTTGGTACCAGGAGCTGCACCAAACGCTGCGGGCATTGATTCCTGGAGCTCTCAGGGCTCCTTTGGTGGCACCTGTCCACTTGGTACCAGGAGCTGCACCAAACGCTGCGGGCATTGATTCCTGGAGCTCTCTGGGCAGGCTTGTGTCCTGGGACCTAGTCCTCTTCCCATTCTGCTGATGGGGGAGGGGCGGGAGGGGGGGGCCGGTATCACAGAATAAGACAGTTGCCCACATCTCACAGCCAAAGCTGAATTCTGGACCATGCGATGCTGTGACTGGGCTCCTGCCACCCGCCCGCCCACCGCAGCCCAGCCTGCACGGAATGGGATGGGGGATACCATGTGTGGTTCGTGTTTCTTCAGACAGACGCTTTCCGTTGATGCTCTTTGGAGAGTAGTGGGCTGGGACTGGTTCTTGTCAGACACATGGGGGAGGGCGGTGTTGATACATCCAGCCTCCCCAGGGGTGTGGCCAGAATCCTGTGGGCAGTCCCAAGGGCTGGGGCAGGCCGAGCAGGGAGGAGGCAGAGCGGCCACCCCTCTTCAGTGAGTGGCTGCTGGGGCAGCATAGCCGTGGGAGGCACTCAGGGCCTGAGCTGCGTGGCGTTGACGCTCTCCTCTCTCCGCCGGCTCCCAGGCTGCGCTGGACTTCGTGGTGGAGGAGGACCTGAAGGCCCACCTCACGTGCTGGTACATCCAGAAGTACGTCAAGGAGAACCCCCTGCCGCAGTACCTGGAGCGCGTGCAGCCGTAACCTCCGCCTCCAGGCGGAAGCACTCTGCCTCGGACCTTTCATCCGGCCTTCGCTGACCACCGTGCCCTCTCAGGGAACCTCGGCCCTGCCAGGACCAGACTCATTCTTCTGTATAAGGGTGCCTCTCCGGCCCGATCGCCAGACCACCGGGGTGCCCATTTGTTTTCACAGGAGGCCCAGGACACTCTCCCTACCACTGTCCTCCCCACCTCCTGGCCTTGTCCTCCCCACCACACAGGCTCCCTCCACAAGCCAGGCCGGCCCCTGGCTCCCCGTTGCCTGCAGAGGGGCAGGGGGTAGGGATGGCAGGCTGAGAACAGCTGTGCCAAGAGAGCGGGGCTGGCGCAGGCTGCGATGGATGGGAGCCGGCTGACGTAGTGAAGAGGGGGACCGGGCAGCAGGGGTCGTAACGTGCTCACTGTAGAGGCTGCTCCAGCCTGCTCTCGCCTGTGATGGGTGTGCCGGTGAGGGCCAGGACACAGCGTGGACAGAGATGTGTCTGCGGCCAGCCTGGGGAACTCCCCTGCTGGTCTTGGCTCTGGGCTTCCTGGGGGGGCGAGGGGTGAACCATGTACCAGCAGGATGGTTGAGCCGCTTCCATGCTCGGTGTCCTTTCTGCAGCTGGGGTGGGGCTGGGGGCGGGGGGTGAGGCCAGAGGAGCAATAGAAACCTTGTGTGCCAAATGTCGGGGGGGTGGGGGTGGGGTGGTTGTGCCAGATGTTGGCCCCCACCAGGGCCACCCCTCTTTCTCCTACTTCTGCGCCCTGGGGTGAGGGGCGGGTGTAGCCAGGGGCAAGAAACAGTCTGCCTGAGAAAGAGAAGGGCTGGCTGAGCACTGGCCCAGGCCAGCTGTGCACACTCAGTGCACGCGCACCGCGCACACAGGCACAGGTACACAGGACTGGGGCAGGTGTGGGGAGCAGATGGTGCTGTCCTCTCTTCTGTCCCCCTTCCTCTTCCCTTTTTGCCTGCAGGAAGCAACAGCCTCTGATCCCTACTCCCCACAGCCCCTCGCTTGTCCTAGGTCCGCCATCTGGGTGTAGGTCGCATGACCCCAGGCTACTTGGCGGGGATCCCTACTCACTTGCCACTGACCTTTGCTGCCACCTTTGCTCCCTCTGGGAGGGGTAGAGGAAAGCCATTTTAAAGTGCCCATCCTGTCACTCTGCCAAGGGGTTCCCTCTGCTGCCGTCAGACATCTGCCCCGGGTGCTGTGGTCAGGCACGTCCTCCATACTGGCCTCAGTGTGCAGCCTGGTTGACCCTTGGGGCACACGTGGCTGTGGGGCACTCAACTTTTGGGGTCTCCCTGAGGGACCAGTGGGTACCCTCTGGTTTGGGGCCTTGCCCCGTCCGTTCTCGCCAAATGTTTGATCCGTTCACGCGCTCCTGTGCACCTGGAGAAGGATCCTGGAGTCTGAAATGGCAGTGGGCATCTGGTCCCCTTTAGGCCTCTGGAACGTGGCTGCAGGTGGGCCCGTTGCACCTGCCCGGATAGAACCAGGAGCTCCTCACCATGCCATCTTCCTGAGGGCCAGGTCAAGTTCCGTGGTGACGCCTGTCCAAGTCTTAGCAGTGAGACCCCCTGCCTCCCTTCCCTGACACTGATCTCAGAGGTACTGCCTCCTGGTGTCATGCACAGCACCTTCCCGCCTGCGGCAGGAACATCCCGGTCTGCATGCCTTCTGGCCGAGCCTCCAGCCGCCTCGGGCCAGACACGTGCTTGGCCCTCAGGGACCCTTGGAAGGGCTGAGGGCCAGCCCCCCTCCACTTTCCACCAGCCTCCTCAGCCCCGCGCAGCTCCCTGACTGAGATCGGCATCCAAGGGAAGAAGCAGAGATGGCCCAGTCTCGGGAAATAATTTGTTGACAGAGAGTGGCCTCAGCTGTCCTACGTCCGTCCCAAAACATCCTGTCCCTGGCACCATTGAAGAGAGGCGGGGCTGGCGGTGGAGGTGGGCAGCTAGCCAGCCCAGGTTGGATCTCTTCCCTGCTCTGCAGCCAGGCAGCTGAGCCTGTACCTCCTTTCTCCTCCTCCTCTGGGACTTCTCTCCGTGCACACAGCCCTTCCAGGCCCACGGACAGATTCCTCCAGAAAAATTGTTCCCTCACTTGTCCCATATTTCCCATGCAGCTTGCAGGGCCCCTGGCCCCAGTAAGCCCACACAGGGTGGTCCCTGGACCCCCTGCAGGAAGCTCTGTGAATTAGGGCTGGGCCCTGGAGATAGGGGAGGTGGGATGCCAGCGAGGAGTAGTGGGTTTCAGTATGAACTTTGGGTTCCACCCAGTGTCCTGCCTGGAGCTTCCCCAGTGCACACGCGGCACACTCGGTATTTGGACACAGAAGCTGGATTCCCTCCCCTCTTGCTGCTGCCCCTGTTGGCTGGCAGCAGCCCCCACCCCGGGCGCTGTGTCTGGCAGACGCTGCCTTGGCGCCCCCAGTGCGTTCCTTGGTGCTGACGCCGTGGCCCTCCTTCCCTGCACCCTGCGGGTCCTGCTCTCACCTCGGGACGCAGGGTCGGTGGGGTCATGGCACATGCCCAGGAGCAGAGGGACCGTTCCAGGTGACTGAGGCCCCAGCCCCAGCTCCGTGCCCGACAGTCGACTCCAAGCACTTGGACTGCCTGGCCAAGCCAAGCTCTGAGAGCTGCGCTCCCTGGTCCCGGGCGGGGACCACTTGTGCCTTTCTGACCTACGATCTGTTACCCCTGATCACTAGGCCAGCGCTGGGCTCGGGGCCTTGCTCCCTCTTAGTAATTTTTAACTCATGGACACCACATTACACTAAAAGGGTGGCCTTTCTGCCCAGCTTGGAGCTGCTCTTCCCAAGAGAAGGGTCCCAGCCATCCCCAGGGGGCCTCGTCTCATCTCCGCAACCTTAAAGATGGCCCCCCGCTCTGGCCAACGAAGCCGGGGAAAGGTAAGGAGAAGGCAGGGTCCAAGGATACTTCCAACTCTGTCCCCAGGGTTTGAGCTCTGCTCGTTTAAAACCAGCACAACCCTGCATGGTAGGAATAGACCTGTTTTTCAGAGAGAACGAGGCTCCGAGGCCACAGGGCCTGGCTGACAGCAAGGAAGTGTGGAGTTAGGATCCCAGTCTGAGGTAGGGTGATGCTGTGTCCACACCCCCTACACACCCCATCTCACTTGTCCCATGGTCTCCAGCACACCATAATACCCCCTGTTCTCCCTGAGAGAAGGTACAGCCACACCCTTAGTACGTGGCTCCGCTGTCTCCCCGTGGCTGCCTTGTGTCTGTACCTGCCTTTCCTCCACAAGCTGCTTGCTACTCCTGGCTCGGTGGGCTCGGCCTGGTGTTAGAAGGCTGACCGTGAACAGGTTGGAAGGGCAAGCAGTGGCATCCTCGGGAAGAGTGGAGGAGTGGGCAGGGCAGCAGCTCTGATCCCTGGTTGGAAGTTCCCCCTGGACCTTGTGCTCGGGATGCCCACCCAAAGCAATGGGAACAACAGAGGCAGTGCAGTCGCCCTGAGAAGACCTAGTTTCCAGACAGGGAGACTGGCCACCCAGGTGAGGTCGGGGCATGAGTCAAACACACAGATGAATGATACAGGTCACACGTCCACTTTCCATATGGATGATGTAGGTCATTTGTCCACTTAACAGGTGGCCTCCAAGAGGAATAGACGAAACTGGCTGGGTAATGCCCCAGATCATGTGGAGGGCTGGAGCAGGGGGTCCCTGTCAAGCTACTCGACTCCCAGCTAACCAAGAGTAGCTGGCCTGTGTGGAGCAGATGGGATGCTGGGAGGAAGAAGCAGGAATATTCGAGTAGCACCTGCCCTATGCTCACCTTCCTTCTCAGTTCAGGAGTCTCCCATTTGTTCAAATCCACCCACATGTCCCCTTGACTATTCTCAGGGCCCCACTCCCTCCGAGCAGTGTCCTAACTCACTCAGATCCGGAAAGGCTGTGAATTCAACAGTGTTGTAACTCTGTACCCTGCAGAGTCAAACCTATATTTTCAGTTGTATTGATTCCTATGGCTACAAGATATTAAAGAGATTCTTTTTCTGGCTGTCAAAAATAGTCTCTGGTTCTCTCTGCCTTCGTCGGAGTTTTAAAGCCCTGAGTTATACTTTGCTTTTTGCTTCTATAGTGTGGTCAAGTAGCCAGCTTACCTGAGGATCCTGGTCTCCAAAACGTCGCCCCAAGTGGACATAGGTGATAGTTTAATAGTTTGCCACTGCACTCTGCCACGAACTTCCCATAGGCAATGCCCCCCTTTCCCATAGACAATGAAGTCCTTCCGGAATGTGTTCCAGCCCAATCGGGTTAGCCGGGTCCCCGATCCTGGGTTTCCACTGTTTCCTAGCAGGTCGTTGCAAGAACAGTTTTAGGAACATTCAGGAAAACAACTTTTCAGAGAGGGCATTTAATAAAAGGGTTTGCATACTGTATTATCAGGATTCTGCATGGAAACCAACAGGTTGTATGCATGTGTGTAGAAAGGGAGACTTACTGTAGGGAATTGATCACACACATAAGGGGACTGGCAGATCCGAGATCTGTACTCTGGGCAGTAGACTGGAAACACCGATAATCTTGCATCTACAATCGCTAGGTCAAGCAGATTGTGGACAGCGGCCGAATATCTGTTAGTCTGGAGGCAGAATTCCTGTTCTTTGAAAGCTTGATTTTTTGTGTGTGTGTTCTTGAGACCTTCAGCTGACTGGGTGCGACCCACTCACACCGTGGAAGGTCATTTGCTTGATTTAAAGTCGGCTTGTTTAAACACACATACAGATGACCCCCCCAACAATAGGCTGTCAGAGGCACCAATCTCGCAAACCAAAACCAAGCCCAGTGCCATTGCCATCCAGTCTGTGCCAACTCATGCGGACTCTAGTAAGGTGACCAGACGTCCTGCTTTTGCTGAGACAGTCCCGAGTTTTGGAAAGAATGCACGACAAGCTAGGGAACGGTCTATTTGGTCCACGTAGACCAAGTTTTTAATCAAGAACCCCCACCCCCGGTCACTGGGGTCCCGCTTTAAATCTGGTCACCTTACGGACCTAGAGGCCAGGGTAGTAGAACGTCCCTTTGAGTTTCTAAGACCATAACTGTTCCAGAGTCGAAAGCTCCTTTCTCCAGAGGAGCAGCAGCCCAGTGCGTGACCATTACACTACCAGGACTCCTGTGCCACACAGTGGACAATCCATAAGTAATTTACAGTTTACCCTTGAACACGATGGATGTGAACTTCGTGGGCCCGCGGATAACACAGATTTACCCCCTGTTACTATTGCCGTGAGTTCAAGTGTAGTGAGTATCCACTTGGGATACCCTGTGGCATTGTTCATGAGCAGTTCATCTCGACGTGGCGATGATTTGTGCAACACTTTTTATTGTGATTCAGGTGGGGGTTAACATTTCAAATCATCATTGGATTCAATAACCTAAACTCCTTCACAAAGGAATCCTGCACCCTTCTCTTTTCTTTCCCCCCTTCTCCCACTCATGATATTGTCTTCCCCTTTGCCCAAACTCACACCTGTCTACCCCTACGCCTATTGTTTCCCTCTCCCACCCTTCCCCTCACATCCCTGGTCACCATCAAAGGCTCGTTCTCTTTGTACGAAAA